ATTGTAGTACATCGTTTCTAACATGTAGCATATTGTAGCACATAGTTTCTAACATGTAGCATATTGTAGTACACCGTTTCTAATATGTAGCATATTGTAGCACATCGTTTCTAACATGTAGCATATTGTAGCACATAGTTTCTAGCATGGAGCATATTGTAGTACATCGTTTCTAACATGGGGAATATTGTAGCACATCGTTTCTAACATGGAGCATATTGTAGTACATCGTTTCTAGCATGGAGCGACTATGCCTCATGTCAGAAACGATGTGCTACAATATACTCCATGTTAGAAACGATGTGCTACATTATGCTCCATGTTAGAAACGATGTGCTACATTATGCTCCATGTTAGAAACGATGTGCTACAATATGCTACAAGTTGGAAACGATGTGCTACAATATGCTACATACCAGAAACTATGTGCTACAATATGCTCGATGTTAGAAACAATGTGCTACAATATGCTCCATGTTAAAAACGATGTACTACAATAGGCTCCATGTTAGAAACTATGTGCTACAATATGCTACATGTTAGAAACTATGTACTACAATACGCTCCATGTTAGAAACGATGTGCTACAATATGCTCCATGCTAGAAACGATGTGCTACAATAGTAGCACATCGTTTCTGACATGAGGCATAGTGTAGCACATCGTTTCTAGCATAGAGCATATTGTAGCACATCCTTTCTAGCATGAGGCATACTTTAGCACATAGTTTCTAGCCTGTAGCATATTGTAGCACATCGTTTCTAACATGGAGCATAATGTAGCACATCGTTTCTTGCTTGTCTTCTTTTTTATCCTTTTTTGTTATTTGAAAGAGTATTCTACTTTCTTCGCTGATTGGATATCGATTTTCTAAGACAACTCTCTTATGACAGGGAAAGAGTGATACACGAGCCTCTATGTCGTGGTTCAGTTTGTAGACAACAGTGAACTAGCCATAGCAGAGCAAAACACAAAACGTAATTTAAAATAAAATATTTATGTTCTTTCCTGTGTTCAGATTGGGTAATATTATATATCATAATGTATTTTGATATATACGGCCTAATGTTTTTAATTATCTATAAAACATATGTTGTATTATAATAATATCGAACGATTTGTGTTTGAAAAAAAGGTAAAAATAATCGAGTCATAAGGTCACAATTTTTATCATTTGTTGAAAATGTCTCAAGAAAGTATTTTATTATACAGTATTCGCAAATCCTCGAGAAAATTCCCTTTGGCACAGAATTAGCAAACCTTCAAGAAAGGATGTTTTGTTTCGTTATTATCAAATCCTCAATAAAGGATCACATGAATTAATATTGGTAAATCCTCAAGAAAGTATGCCACGAATTAATATTGGTAAATCCTCAAGAAAATATGCCATGATATAATATTGATAAATCCTCAATAAAGGATCACATGAATTAATATTGGTAAATCCTCAATAAAGGATCACATGAATTAATATTGGTAAATCCTCAAGAAAGGATCACATGAATTAATATTTATAAATCGTCAAGAAAGGATGACACGAATTAATACTGGTAAATCCTCAAGAAAGTATGCCACGAATTAATATTGATAAATCGTCAATAAAGGATCACATGAATTAATATTGGTAAATCCTCAAAAAAGGATCACATGAATTAATATTGATAAATCGTCAAGAAAGGATGACACGAATTAATATTGATAAATCCTCAAAAAAAAAAAGGACGCTTTGTTTCAGTTTAGCAAATCTTCAGGAAAAGACCCTTTGAGTCAGAATTAGCAAATCCTCAAGAAAGAATGTCATGAATCAATATTGACAAAACCCAAGAAAAAAACCCCTGGAGTCAGTATTAGTAATTTCTAAAGAAAGGATTCTATGGATTAATATTGATAAAAAGATGCTTTGTTTCAGTATTAGCAAATCCTCAAGAAAGACCCTTTGAGTCAATGTTAGCAAATCCTCAAGAAAAGACCCTTTGAGTCAATGTTAGCAAATCCTCAAGAAAAGACCCTTTGAGTCAGTATTAGCAAATTCTATTTTCTTACACGTTACTGATTTCAAAACGTAAATTTATCATACTTTTGTCTCAGCGTTTCTCGTTCAAAACATAAGGTTTCAGTTTCAGTTTTCATCGTGAGGAATCAACTAAACTCCAAGTACGATATACATATGATGTGAACACATTTAGAATTAAAACATACTTTGATAATAGATCTAGTCTCTCTAACTTTGATAAAAATATAAGAAAGTGTTTTGGTTCAAACTGATAATATATTCCGTCGACAGAGGGCGTGAGACGATGTCATACTCTCACACAGAGTGGATGATGTGAACGTTGACATTGTAATCGCTTATTTAAAAATGGAGATGTTATTAACATTAATCTATAATGTATGATGACGACACTTAACGTGCTACAATTACCAGTGGCTTATTACCATGGTTACCTCTCACTTGTCACATGACTATCAGTGACTTGCAACCGAAGTTACCAGTGACTTACCACCGTGGTTAACTCTCACTTGTCGCATGACTACCAGTGACTTACTAACGAAGTTACCTGTGACTTACAA